AGTCCCAACTACTTGGGAGGCTGAGGCAGGAGAATGGCGTGAACCCAAGAGGCAGAGCTTGCAGTGAACCGAGATCGCGCCACTGCACTCCAGCCTGCTGACAGAGCGAGACTCTGTCTCAAAAAAAAAAAAAAAGAAGTTATACAAATCTGAAAAGCATATCTGCTCCCTATTACATTTGGGATTAATGTCTCTGTTTAGTATAATTTATTATAAAAATTCTAAGGCAGGATAGCATAGTGGCTAAAGAGCCAGAGATTTGTAGCTAGACTGCCTGGGTTTGACTCTCAGATCTACCACTTATTTCCTGTGTAACTTTGGGCAAGTCACTTAACTGCCTGTGCCTTCATTTCCTTGTCTTTAAAATTAGGATGATAGTTTAGTATACCTATAGTCACTTCACGAGATTATTGTGAGAATTAAACTGAGTGAGTATAAAGGACTTAGAACAGTGCTTGACACATGGTTAAGTGCCATATAAGTATTTGATATTATTATGCTTACCTGAGATCGTCACCTGCCAATTTACAAGTATGATCTGCAAATCTATGTGCCCTAAGTGGAAATAATCTTTTGTAACCTTCCTAGCTGGACAGCAAGGGGGTTTTCTAGCTCTAAATGAATATAGAGCTGGAAGATGGAGGGATCAGAGTGATCTCGGTCTCCTTTGCTCCCTTCTGTGCAGCTGGCTGACTGGGTGGGTGAATAGGGCCTCTCCAGGTTGCTGGAAGGTGGCTGGTGTGTCTGTAGTCATCGATCGAGCTTTACCCTGCTGGGAGCTGCAGCCAGTGGGCAGTCATGGCCAGGATGGGGCTAGAGTCTTCTGCTGGCTCTGACTGAGATTCCTGCTGGGGCTCGCATGCCCAGTTGTACCCCTCTCTCCCAATCAGAGGCCCCTTAAAGCTGCCTGTCAGCTCCTCAGCAGCACTTACATTTGGTCACTCTGAGGTCACTGGCCTGGCATGATCATCTGCTCAACTTGGGGAGATGGACCTAAACCTATGTTTTTAATGTAAAGCTAAAGACTATTTGGATTATAAACCAACCCACAAGCTGTGAATTTAAAACATTTGCAGAGAGTTTTAAAAACAAAAGAAAATGCCTGTGGCATTATGTTGACTGGATAAAACAAGTTCCACATTGTATATATGGGATGTTCTCCACTGTGCTTAAGTCTGGAAGGAAATATGCCAAGAGATTGACAGTAGCTGCCTCTAGGCGATAGGATTTTGGGAGGTTTCCTCCCTTGTTTGCTTCTATTTTCCTGGACTTGCCAATTTTTCTATATTGCATATGTATTACTTTATTGATAATAGCAAAAATAATAAACCTAAATAAAGTCTTTGGCTTTATTTAGACTATTGACTATTGATGAAATAGGTGAAATCTCAACCTTTAATTAGCAGGGCAAAACTTAAGAACTGGTTTTCATTTGTGTGTTTTTGACTAGGCATGGTGGCTCATGCCTGTAATCCCAGCCCTTTGGGAGGCTGAGGCGAGAAAATCACTTGAAGCCAGGAGTTCAAGACCAGCTTGGGCAACATAAAGTGTGTTTTTAAACATTTGGCGGTTGTAACAATGACTTAAAACTGCTCTAAAAAATATTTTTTAAAGAAGATAGAAAATGATATAAATATAAGGCAGAGTTAGAAGTTTTAAATGCTGATTTTTATATTTTTGTAACATGTCCTGTATTTTGTGCTTTCAGAATAAATATGTGTTCATTACCGTTTTTTTCTTCTTTTTTGAGACAGGGTCTCGCTCTCTTTCCTAGGCTGGAGTGCAGTAGCGCAATCATGACTCACTGCAGCCTAAACCTCCTGGGCTCAAGTGATCTTCCCACCTCAGCCTTCCAAGTAGCTGGGACTACAGGCACGAGCCACTGTGCCTAACTAATTATTTTATTTCTTGTATAGAGACAGGGTCTCACAGTGTTACCCAAGCTAGTCTCAAGCTCCTGGGCTCCAGTGTTCCCCTTGTCTTGGCATCATCATTTTTACACGTGGAAAATCAAAAGTGTAATATAGATATGCCAGCCCTAATAAAATTGTTTCCTTCTTTTCAGTTTCCTCCAGCTTATGGAGGCATATCTGAGGTGAATCAGCCTGCTGAATTGATGCCCCAATTTTCTACAATTGAGTACATGATACAGGTAATTTCTTTGTTGTGCATTTAATGAGCAATGTTACATATTGAATTTCTCTTGAAATCCTTTGTCTACCATGTCTCTTACCTGGCCAAGGACTTAAAGCTGTGAGGACAGCAGGATCCTAACCCTTAGGTTTGATGTGTGTGCATTTATTGGCATTGTTTTCAAGTCCTGATATTATACCCCATCATCTAGTTGTTTAGCTTCAAAACCTTAGACTTATCCTTCACCTCTGTCTTTCATGTTCCATATCTAATTCACTGGAAAATCCCATTGACTCTATTAGAAATTTATCCAGAATCCACCCACTTCCCCCTCCCTACGACCAGCTGCCCTGGGCCAGTCACTGCTTCTTACTTGAATCTCCTAATTGTTTTCCCTAATGTTACCATTGCCTGTTTATACATTATTCTTCACCCAGCAGCCAGAGTAACTCTTTAAAAACAAATCATGTTACTTCTCTGTTCAGAAAACCTCAGTGGTGAAAACGGCTTTTCTTTACCCAGGGTAAAAGACAGTTTTCAAAGCCCTGCATGTTACCACTCCAACCCCAGTATCTGCTAGTGTCCTCGTTCAGCCCAGTGGGCCTCCTTGACTCTCCTCAAATGTGCTAACACTCCTGCTTGAGGACCTCTGCTCTAGCTTTTCCCTGAGGCTGGAGCTCTCCCCTGTATCTGTAGTGCTCCTTCCCTCTCCTCCCTCAGGCTTTGCTCAAACATTTTTTTCTTTTTTCTTTTTTTTTTAAGAGTCTCGTGTTGTAACCCAGGCTGGAGTGCAGTGGCATGATCTCAGCTCACTGCAACCTCCGCCTCCTGGGTTCAAGCAATTCTCCTGCCTCAGCCTCCCAAGTTGCTGGGATTACAAGGTGAACCCCACTATGCCTGGCTAATTTTTGTATTTTTAGTAGAGACGAGGTTTCACCATGTTGGCCAGGCTAGTCTTGAACTCCTGACCTCATGATCTACCCACCTTGGCCTCCCAAAGTGCTGGGATTACAGGCATGAGCCACTGTACCTGGCCCTCTTTTTCTTTTTTTTATGATGGGGTCTTGCTCTGTTGCCCAGGCTGGTATGTAGTGGCGCAACCATAGTTTACTGCAGCCTCAAATTGGGCTCAAGGGATCAAGGGATCCTCTTGCCTCCGCCTCCCGAGTAGCTGGGACCACAGGCGTGTGCCATCATGCCCAACTAATTTTTAAATTTTTATACTTTTTGTTGTTGTTAGAGACGGGGTCTCGCCATGTTGCCAGGCTGGTCTTGAACTCCTGGGCTTAAGCAATCCTCCCATCTTAGCCTCCCAAAGTGCTGGCATTACAGGCATGAACCCAGCTCACATGCTACTTTCTAAATGAGTCTGCCCTGACTTCTCTGTTGAACAGTTGACTCTGCCCTCTGCCTCTCCTCCTGGTGTTTGCAGTCTCCCTTCACCTCTCCATTCCAGAAAGCTTGCTCCTTGAGGCAAGTAGAAGTCTTTGTTCTTTCTGTTCACTGTGTGTCCCAGGACCTGGAACAATGTCTGGCATGTAGGAAGTATTAAAAAATGTTGAGTAAGTTGTTGGATACAAATAGTTTTTATGTTTAGTTTGATTTAATAGAATCTAAGTCATTTAATGAGTTAATTAGAGCTTTGTGTAGATGTCCTTATCTCCTAAAACTAAATATAGATGAAGACTTACGATTTTCATACCTAATTTGCCTTAAAAAGTGCTGGTTAAGTCTATTTGTATATTGATCATTATACTGTTTTTCTTTGCCCAAAGCGAGGTGCTCAGTCCCCTCTGATCTTTCTCTATGTGGTTGACACATGCCTGGAGGAAGATGACCTTCAAGCACTCAAAGAGTCCCTGCAGATGTCCCTGAGTCTTCTTCCTCCAGATGCTCTGGTGGGTCTGATCACATTTGGAAGGATGGTGCAGGTTCATGAACTAAGCTGTGAAGGAATCTCCAAAAGTTATGTCTTCCGAGGGACCAAGGATTTAACTGCAAAGCAAATACAGGTTTGTACCTTACTTTTACAGGAGCAGGAACAAGGACTTTTTTCTTTCCTTTTCTTTTAAAGAGACTAGGGTCTCTTTAAAAGAGCCTGTAGCCCAGGCTGGAGTTCAGTGGTGTGATCATGGCTCACTGTAGCCTTGAATTCCTGGGCTCGAGCCATTGGCCCACCTCAGCCTCCTGAGTAGATGGGACTAGAGGCACGTGCCACCACACCCAATTGAGGACATTTCTTAAAAATTAGTCATTCACTTTTCGTGTCATTGGAAATGAATCTTTTTGGCCTTTTTTTTTAAGGATATGTTGGGCCTGACCAAGCCAGCCATGCCCATGCAGCAAGCACGACCTGTACAACCACAGGAGCACCCTTTTGCTTCAACCAGGTGAGATCCCAACATGAAGTGTTACATGTACTATGATGGACAGGCAGATGATCCACAGAAGTAAGGAAAGAAAAATATTAGAACTTTTATTTTCTTATTATTAGAGAAAAAGATAAATGATTAAGCGTAATCAGTATTCAGTGTTTTGTCAAAAAGGTTTTGAGACCACTGTGCTCAATTGCTGTGCTTAGACATTCCACATCTGATGTCCTTTTTGATGCTTAAGTAAAACTGGAAAAACTGAAAAGACTTCTTTCATGTGTCCTCAAACATACTTAAGACCGGGTATTCACTTCACTCAGCCCATTGAGCACCTGGGGCTGCCCTAGACTGGGCTAGCAAGCTCGATAAAATGCATCGCCCGACATGCTGAAGACAACCTCTTACTCTCAAGGCTTAAGAGAAGCACACATTAGAATGATGAGGAATGATGACGATTGTCCACCTAAATGGACCTCACATAGACTGAACTTGTGTTAGGCACGTCCTTAGGATTTCTTTGCTGCCTAAAAGTTAATTAAACTGAATTACTTCTTTTCAAGACAATTTTTTTTCCATGCAACATATTTAAATTGCTAAGTATTGGGCTTTATATCCCTCAATAAAACTGCTTTAAATTGTTTTGTGTTAGTAGAGACATAGCTTTGAAGAAAAATTACCAGTCGTTTACTACTCTGAATGATTATCTTGGAGAGCAATAATTGTGTGGCATCTAGTGTTGAAGACCATAGTACTTTATTCAATCTGGGTTGATGTGTCTGTTCAAAATCTTGCAGATTTCTGCAGCCTGTTCACAAGATTGATATGAACCTCACTGATCTTCTTGGGGAGCTACAGAGGGACCCATGGCCAGTAACTCAGGGGAAGAGACCTTTGCGATCCACTGGCGTTGCTTTGTCCATTGCTGTTGGCTTGCTGGAGGTAATTTGGAATTTACCAGGACCTCTCAAATCATACAAACTTGTTCTCGGAAAATATATTTGTTGGCTTTGTTTGAAAATCACTTGTGATCTAAGTCAACAATGTGTGTTAATGTATCAGAAAGCATTTCAGGCATCATTATCATTCACGTTGAGGGAACCCCTCAACATTTTGAAAATGCCAAAAGTTTTCATGAAAAACTGAGAATTAGAGCAATGGGGAGCACTCACAGCGAATTAATAAAAGTGTGCAAACCCATCAGGTTGGAAGAAGGTAAGTGCTGCTTTTCTGCATTATCATCTGTAGTATTCTGCAGTATCACCACTGTTTAGAACAGCTGGAGAGAATGCTTCTTCGGAGTATTTCTATTGGGAAATTGAAACCATACACAGAGGTGGGGCTGTATACTTCTAACATGCTGCCATTTGCTATTTTAGGGCACTTTTCCAAACACGGGAGCCAGGATCATGCTGTTTACTGGAGGTCCCCCTACTCAAGGGCCTGGCATGGTGGTTGGAGATGAATTAAAGATTCCTATTCGTTCTTGGCATGATATTGAGAAAGATAATGCACGATTCATGAAAAAGGCAACCAAGGTAGGTGCTCTTGGGTACGGGTTGTAATTCTGAAAGCCCATTGTCAGGTTTGGGCTGCTCTGGAGTGGCAGCTACTTTGCTGTCATGTGTCATGGTCAGCAAGACGCTGTTTCAGAGACAGTTTTCCGACCCTAGCTGCTATTAAATTATTGCTCCTACTTTCAGACCTTAATTAGAGTGAGTGGCCTTAAAACTACTCAAAGGGTTTTGACATTGAAAATTATATGTTTATTTTATTCAGATATTTTTGAAAATGATTTCCAGGCTGGGCCTGGTGGCTCACGGCTGTAATCCCAGCACTTTGGAAGCGGGGGGTGGATCACTTCCGGTCAGGAGTTCAAGACCAGCCTAACCAACATGGTGAAACCCTGTCTCTACTAAAAGTACAAAAATTAAGCCAGGTGTGGTGGCTCACGCCTATAGTCCCAGCACTTTGGGATGCCCAGGCAGGCGGATCACTTGAGGTCAGGAGTTTGAGACCAGTCTTGCCAACATGGTGAAAACCCTGTCTGTACTAAAAATACAAAAATTAGCTGGGTGTGGTGACATGTTCCTGTAATTTCAGCTACTCAGGAGGCTGAGACATGAGAATCCGTTGAACCTGGGAGGCAGAGGTTGCAGTGAGCTGAGATCGTGCCACTGCACTCCAGCCTGGGTGACGGCATGAGACTCTGTCTCAAAAAATAAATAAATAAAAATAAAATTACAAAAATTTGCTGGGGATGGTGGCGCATGCTTTTAATCCCAGCTACTTGGGAGGCTGAGGCAGGAGGATCACTTCTACCCGTGAGGTGGAGATTGCACCACTGCACTCCAGCCTGGGCAACAGGGAGAGACTATCACAAAAAGAGAAAAGAAAATGATTTACATATTTTTATATTTGATTACCTCCTTTGGTGTATTCAGGTATACCTTGGGAATAATGTCAGTGTTTCCTAATGATAGCTTTCCTCTCTTCACAGCACTATGAGATGCTTGCTAATCGAACAGCTGCAAATGGTCACTGCATTGATATTTATGCTTGTGCCCTTGATCAAACTGGACTTTTGGAGATGAAATGTTGTGCAAATCTTACTGGGTATGTTGACAGCAAAAACCTGGGCAGAGTGAGAGTGTTATTTTAAGGAAAGAGAAATTAGTGATGGAGCCATAGGAATGGGCATGGCCAACTTGGAGAAGCTTTCAGGTAGCTCTGGGCTGTGGTTTCCGTGACTGGGGAGGGCTCCTTAGAGAAGGAAGCAGTGATTAGTAGGAGGGCTTAAGGGTTCACTACAAACAAGTCATTTCAGAGTAACTTCATTTCTTCCTTAGAGTTGTTAACACTTTTACAGAGACCAGGCCAGGAAAGCAAGCAGTATGGACTATCTGGCCTTCATCAGGGCACTTCCTTTTGAGAAGTGGGGAAAACAGGGTCTGAATGCTGAAGCAACTAGGAGAAACTTAACCTGGCTAAGTGGCCGTACTTTGTGGCTAATTCCAAGTGCACTCAACCTAGAGGCTGTACTGACGCAGAGCCTAATTCAGTATTATATTCACAGGCCAGAGTGTGGAGCAGTAGTTCTCAACATGTGGTGGTGTCCAGACCTGCAGCCTTAGGGGCTCCTGGGAACTGATTGGAATTGTATATTTCTAGGCCTTACCCGGACCTCCTGAATCGGAAACCCCAGGAATACAGCTCTCTAGGAGATTCTGGGGCACATGAAAGTGTAGGAACCGCTGATGAGCACTGGTCTGAAGCTGGCTACCTATTGTTATCTTCAGGGAAGCTTTAAAAACTACTCTTTCTTTAGGTCTTGTCCTCAGAGATTCTGATTTAGTTAGCATGAGGTGTAGCCTGGGCATCAGCATTTTAAAAGTTTCTCCCGTGATTCTAACATAGAGCCGAGTTTGAGAACCATGCAGCATCTTGAGCCTCACTCTAGACCTGAATCAGAACCTGCATTTGAACAATATTGCAGGTGATTTGCATGCACAGAAGTTTGAGAAGCATCATAGAGCTGTGGAATGGGCTTGAGATTCTGCATTTCTAACAAGCTCCCGGGTGATGCTGCTGGTCCCCAGTGAGTAAAGGGAATAGAAGGTAGAACCAGAATCAGCTGGAGTTGTCCTAGAGTGCAGCTGATGAGTTAGGTGATAGAATTAGGGTCCCAAATGATACTGATATAGCTATCTCAGTAATCCACATTTAATAGTATGAACTCCTACCAGGGCCTTCCAGGAGTTCTGACTCAGAATGTCCATAGAAAAGCTTTAGTGTATTTGTGAACACCCTTAGATTGTGTACTAGAGTTTGTGTGAACTTTTTCTGTGAAGAATTACTATCTGGTGCACACATGTGTTAGTATACAGCTCAAGGTGAGCCAACAGTGTGGGATGACTTCCAGCAAAGGCAAGGTGATCCTAGGCTGCGCTATAGGAGGAGATTATCTTCAGGGAAGACCATATTCTTGGTTTCTTTGGTGCTAGTCACACCTTATCCACATACATTGTTTTCTTTTCTGAGCATTGCAATTTCAAGGGGCGATAGGAGATGAACTGGAGATGTTTGAAGAAGAGCAGTGGTGGAGAGTCCTGGAAACTGTCATGTGAGGAATGATTGAAGGAGCTGGAAAGGGTTAAGCTGAAGACACGTGGGGTGTGAGAACTGTATTCAACAGTTGAGGGACTTTCCTGTGAAGGAATCTGATTTGTTCTGTGTATGACCAAAGGGTGGAACTAGAACCAAACCAGTGGGTGGAAGCTGCTGGCAAATGAAATTTCACTCAATATCAAGAAGGGCCTTTCTTAACAGAGCTGTTCAAACACAGAATTGGACAGTTCGGGGAGGAAGCTCCCGATGCTGGAGGAGTTCAAGCCTAGTCTGGATGTAACTTGGCAGGTATTTTGTAGAGGGGTTGGTTGAGAGTTAGTATTAGAATTGTATGAATGTCACAGAAAACCCAAAATAAGTTTATTTCTCTGGAGGTGGGCAGCCCGGGGCTAGTATGTTGCTTTCATCTAGGGGCTGAGGCTCCTACTCAGCTGCTCTGCCGCATTCATATGCCATCAGTGGCTCAAGACAGTTGTTGGAGCTCTAGCCATTTACAGCAGCAGGAAGGAGGAAAGGTCAGAGAAGGATTGCTCTTCCTGGAGGAACACACTCCACACGTAAAGGACACAGTAACAGGCAGAACTCACACGCCAACAGAGGCACATGGCCACAGGCAAGGCAGGTTGGAAAATGTCATTGTTCCAGGAAACTAAGGAAGAGGTAGATATTTGGTGCCAAATAGCTGACTCCTCACTAGATGGTTCAGATGCTCTGAGATGGCCGGGCCAGATGATCTTTCTTGTGTTCTTCTAGATTCTGAGATCTTGTTTTATGAATGACGTTTGGAGGCATAACTTGCATCAAGCTGTGCTTCTCTGTCCAAATGCATGAAATGCTGACATTTCACACAATGTTTTCCTCTAACTCCAGTAAGGGATTAGTGTTAATACTCATGAGTTGGAAAAAATAATTCTTGTAAGTCAAGAATTCGGTGTTTTGAGGCAGTAAATTAACCTGAAAAGGATTTCCCACAGGCCTGGGTATTTTCCCATACCAAAGAACTGTGAGAGGAATTAGACTTGTTCTTATTCTGTTTAATGCTTGAGAAGTAGTTTCTTTCCTAAGTGTGAATTGAACATGCTGTTTTTTATTTTTTAAATTTTATTATTTACTTATTTATTATTATTATTTTTTTTTTGAGAAGCAGTCTTGCTCTGTCACCCAGGCTGGAGTGCAGTGGTGCGATCTTGGCTCACTACAACCTCTGCCTCCTGGGTTCAAGTGATTCTCCTGCCTCAGCCTCCTGAGTAGCTGGGATTATGGCTACTCGTCGACATTGGCTACTAATTTTTGTGTTTTTAGTAGAGATGGGGTTTCACGATGTTGTCTAGGCTGGTCTTGAATTCCAAGTGATCCGCCCTCCTCAGCCTCCCAAAGTGCTGGGATTACAGGCGTGTGCCACTGTGCCCGTCCTGTTTTTTATATTTAAATTAATCAGTAGCACGTTTGGGGACCTGGTTTCTTTTTTTCTTTAAATTATTTTTGTAAATGCTGAGGGAGCATCTGAATAGCTTTCAATCTTCCTAATATTCACTTGATTGTTTTCTTCTTACCTAGAGGCTACATGGTAATGGGAGATTCTTTCAACACTTCTCTCTTCAAGCAGACATTCCAAAGAATCTTTACTAAAGATTTTAATGGAGATTTCCGAATGGCATTTGGTGCTACTTTGGACGTAAAGGTACAGTAGACTTTTTTTGTTTTTTTAATGTAGACTCACTGTACTGCCCAGGCTAGTCTCAAACTCCTGACTTCAGGCAATTTTCCCACCTCAGTGTCCCAAAGTGCTGGAATTACAGGCATGAGCCACTGTACCTGGCCATACTTTTAAAACTTCAATGGAATTATAGTGTTCTTACATTTTCAATCAATATGCAGACTTCTGGCAACCCCCACCTGCTGGACACGGGTGTGTAAAAGCCAATTAAGAGGATCTCAACCAAATGGCTGTTACAAAGCATGTTATTCACTTTATCACTTTTCTTCTTGAGTATGACCTCTATATTTATTTATGTTCTAAGTAACGAGCTGCCTGGTTCCCCTGCAGGCTCTGCTCCATCCTGCTTCAAGGCAGTAGGAGATAGAATAGGAAGTAGGGTGGGTGTTATGAGCAGCACTGTGGCCTGAGGACAGGGGCAGCCGCACAGTGGTCTGCATCCACCCAGCCATCAGCATGGCTCACTGCATTGCACGGAGCCGTGGTTGTGTTTAATGCCTTCCTGAAGAATAGCCAGAGTGCCCTAAAATAGACAGCATTGGGCCGGGCACAGTGGCTCATGCCTGTAATCACAGCACTTTGGGAGGCTGAGGCGGGCGGATCACCTGAGGCTGGGAGTTTGAGACCAGTCTGACCAAAAGGGAGAAACCCCGTCTCTACTAAAAATACAAAACTAGTCGGCGTGGTGGTGCGTGCCTGTAGTCCCAGCTACTTGGGAGGCTGAGGCAGGAGAATTGCTGTTATGCAGGAGGCAGAGATTACGGTGAGCCAAGATCGTGCCATTGCACTCCAACCTGGGCAACAAGAGTGAAACTTTTTCTCAGAAAAAAAAAAAAGACAGCATAGCGAGGTTTTTTTTTCCCCATGTAGGGACTCCTGGCCCTGATACAGCTGATTCTAAGTCATTGAGAAAACATTAGAAGAGGGTGTTAGGCCTCATGTCGGTGGCTCATGTCTGTAATCCCAGCACTTTGGGAGGCCAAGGTGGGGTGACTGCATGAGCTCTGGAATTACAGACCAGCCTGGGCAACATAGCAAGACCCTGTCTCTATAAATGATTAAAAAAAAAAATTAACCACATGCAGTGGTGCACACCCGTGGTTCCAGCTACTCAGGAGGCTGAGGCGGGAAAATCACGTATGCCCAGGAGTTTGAGGCTACAGCGAGCTATGATTGTGCCTCTGCACTCAGTGTGGGCAACAGAGTCGCAGGTTGGCGGGCAGGTAGGGGGCCACCATTAGAAAATATAATTGGAATTATTACTTGGAGAATTAGAGATAATTATTAAATCATCTAGGTTAAACTTTAAACCATAATCTTAAATGTTTAAGGGTTTTCTTTTAAAGATGGACTTTTGAAATGAATTCACATTTTAAAAATCTAGGTATGTTGGCCTTGTCATTATATTGGAGTTCATGAATTAAGTATTTTTAAAGCAACACAAAATAGTATGTTCTCTGATTAGGAATACACAAATAATTATGGATATACATGAATGTGAATATATTCATACAAGGAATTGGAAAAGAATGTAGTATTGTTAGAATTGTTATCTACATGTACAGTAATTTCAAAGTTTAAAAAGTAAGTTGTGAGAGTTGAAAATGCTCCTGTTTCACGTGTTTCTAAGGGCGGATTTTATTAAAGTTCTAATCTCAGTGGCTGCGGAGAAATTTGTAGGTCTAAGTAGTTATGATCCATGTGGGGTTTTCTCTTGGCAGAATAGTAGTGTTATATTTTTCCTCTAAGCTTTCATTGTGGCCAAGATGAGAGCAGGGTGGATTGAAGTGATCTTTAACTTTACACTGTCATGTATTTGTTATAGACCTCTCGGGAACTGAAGATTGCAGGAGCCATTGGTCCATGCGTATCTCTGAATGTGAAAGGACCGTGTGTGTCAGAAAACGTAAGGAAAACAACTCCGTCACCCTCACCTCCTGCCCTGGATTTAACCGGTCAGAAGTGTCAGAGCATGATGATCTCACATGTGTCACCTGTTGGATGTGTCTGCAGTGACAGAAGGGCTAACCCTCACTGATGACTTTACTCGGAGAGGTGGTGTTATTCCATCTGTTCGTCTAAAGGGTTAGAGAGAAGGAAACTGAGGCTCAGAAAGGTTCAGTATCTTGCTCAGGGTCAGAACTGACATGCAGGAGCTAGAGCCCAAGTGTCCGTGACTCCACTGCCCGTGGTAATTGCGCCGAAGCCATGCCATGCTGTTCAGCGCAAGGCAAACATTCAGCACAGTCCCTCCAGAGTAAGCCTATTGCTCATTGCCCTTAGAGGTGATACCTTTGTCTCACTCAGCTAATAACAAGCCTTTTACAACAGAGACCACCATGAGTTGGTGTGGAAGTGGGTGACACTGCTGTGTGTGCAGACGTCTGTTTTCTCTTGTAATAGATTTTGAGAACAGTTTAATTATCTTTTGGGATGAGCGGCTTTGCTTATTGTCCACTTCCTCTGATTATACTTTACTTGCTAGGAGGGAAACCATTTGGTTTGGCAAGGCCTCTCTAGGGTGGTCCTGGGCTGGGGTTACACAGTCATGTTCTTCCTTCACTGTCATCGTCAGTGGGAGGGTAGACCAGAGAACCAGATGTGGATCCAGGGTGCAGGTTTACACCCCACACCTGGCCCGAGCAAAGGACTTATTTGCTGTGTGATTCAGTATCCTTACGTGGCAAATGGGGTAATAACAGTGCCTGCTCTACAGCATTGTTAGGAGGTTTAAGTGAGTTGGTTCAGGTGAAGCAGTTCGTGCCTGGCACACTGGAAGTGTGGGTCTTCTTTCATGTTGTCAGCAGCAAACGTTCCTGAGTGACCACATAGATTCAACTTTTGTTGAGCTTGGCAGAGGCAAGGCGATTTGAGAGCATATTCCTGTAGTCTTCTGAGTGAGGCAGATTGCTGCCCTAAAGCCCATCTGATGAGTCATTCGTTACTCCCAGAGTACTAAGGGGCTTGTACCCCTATTTCCTGGCAAGGCTTTGGAAGACTGCCTTGTTATAAAATATTTTTCATGGACTTAAAATCTGCCTGCTGAAGACTTCCTGAAATAGTTTAAGAAGGCATTTTTATGAATTAGTACAAGCTAATTAATTTTTCTAGTAGAATTCAGCCATGAAAGTTTTGTTTGGGGAATGAGGATGCAGAGAATAGGAAAATACAATTTTCAGACATACTGAGAAGTTTGAAGAAGAGTATGATGAATTTCTGTATACCTACCATTTAGTCATTGATTGTTAACATTTTGCCATAATTGCTGTATTGTCTTGTTTGCCACATTTGCTTTATCTGATTGTCATTTATTTGCCACATTTGACTTATCAACTTTTTTTTGCTGACCTTTGAAAATAATTTGCAGATATCATGACAGTCCTTAAGCACTTCAGTATGCATCTTCTAAAAACAAGGATGTTCTCCTACCATGATGTCATTATCAAACTTAAGAAAATAGTAATTTCCTAATATCTAATTCATATTTTTTCTCTAATTTCCCCCCAGATGCCCTTTGTAGCTGTTTTTCCCCCAGCCGGCATTGCATTTGATACTATAGCCTTTGTAAAGTGAGAGTTATGGTTAAAGGTGTGTTTAGATTCAGGTGAAGCCTTTTGCCAAACATTCTTCCTGGGCAGTGTGTACTTCATGCTGTGTCACCTCCAGAGGCACTATGTCTGCTGCCCCATGTTAGATGTGCTGAGTTAGATCGCACGGTGATGCTGGTGACTGCCCCACTGCCTTTCTACCGCAAGGGAAGACTTCCCCCTTTGCCATGAGCGGGCAGTCTTTTGAATGAGAGTGTGTAGCACAATATGAAAATCTTGTTTGCCAACGGCCTAATGGTTTTTAGCATCCACTGATCTTCACGCAAATCAGTTTATTTCTTTGAGGGTTATAAAATGGTCGTTTCCTAATTGTCTTTATTGTTTCTCCAATAAAGGCATCTAAAGAGCAAATGTTTAAGTAAGGAATTTGTGTATCAGTAAGAAAATGATATTTTGGAGCTCTGGAGGAGCCGTCATCGGTCTGGTGCTTAGAATGGGGTTAGCAAGGCAAGAAGAGGAGGCATGAATGCTCCTTAGACTTCTTGGCCTTTTTCCTGAGCACAGCTCTTTACCTTCCAGCAGATAATAAACACTTGCTTCCTTTAGAAAAGGCCACTACAAGGAAGGTGAACTCCCGTGAATCCATCTAGCTCATTATCTAGCTTAGGAAGTACTGACAGAACAGAGCGCACCCTCTCCGCTCTCCACCTTAGAGCTGCTGTGTGATTTCAGTTTAAGAGTCTTTCTTAAGAGTCTGACTTGATTATTTGTGGATTTCAGTGTTATGTGTCATGCGGAGACACCCCCCCAACACACACACACACACACACACACACACACACACACACAGTGTATGTGTAAACCCGGAATGATGTGTCACACCTGTAATCCCAACACTTTGGGAGGCTGAGGCAGGAGGATTGCTTGAACCCAGGAGGTCGAGGCTACAGTGAGCTGTGATTGTATTATGGCACTCCAGTCTGGGCAACAGAGGGAGAGACCATCTCAAAATAAATAAATATAAACAACATATATGTGTAGTATACGTGATATAATAAAAATTAGTCAGAATGTCAATATAAAAAGCTTAATTTTAAAGTATAAGTGTAAATATTAAGACTTCATCGGGTCTGCAGTTGTTCTCTTTTCAGTAGAAGATTTCATTTCAACTTAAATGTTGTCCTAAAAGAAGGTACTCTAAGTAGCCTGCCCTACTCAGTCAGTACTTTTCATTAGCGATTAACCATAGGGATGGTTTTCTGGTTTTGTTTTTTAAATTCTTCTTCCTACCCCTAGGAACTTGGTGTTGGTGGCACGAGTCAGTGGAAAATCTGTGGCCTAGATCCTACATCTACACTTGGCATCTATTTTGAAGTTGTCAATCAGGTGAGTTGGATTTCTTCACATGTCTTCATGTCTTAGTGTCCTGTTCTGTGATTTATCTCAAACCAGTGGTCTCTGGTTACTTTCTTCACAAACCGATATTCCTTGGGTATTGTATTAGGCCTGATGATAGTCTGGCATGACCTCCTCTTATTTATTCCTTCAAGGGTTTAGTCGGAGTCAGGCAGCAAATTACTTTTGTCCCTTGATTGTTGAACTGATAAGGTCATTAGAAGTGTAATGGATTTTACTAGTCATCATCATGTCGGTGAATTTTTGAGCGCGTCGATTCTTTCTCTAATATTTTATTATGAAAAATGCCAAACATACAGAAAAATTGAAAGAATTCTGCAGTGAACACGTACTACCTAGGTGCACCCATCAACTTGATTCTGTAATTAACATTTTACTGTACTGGCATACCTTGGAAATATTGTGGGTTCAATTCCAGACTACTACAATAAAGTGAATATTGCAATAAAGCAAGTCACGTAAATATTTTGGTTTCCTACTGCATATAAAAGTAATGTTTACACTATAGTGTGTTAAGTGTTAA